TGTCAAGGAGCTCACTCCCTGTGTTTTCTTCTAGGAGTTTTACAGTATCAGATCTTAAATATAAGTCTATAATAAATTTTAAGTAAATTTTCCTGTATGGTGTACGGTAAGGGTCTGGTTTCATTCTTTTACATGTAGCTGTCCAGTTTTCCCAACATTTTTTATTGAAGTGACTACCTTTCCTCATTGTATATTCTTGCCTCCTTTGTCACAGATGAATCGACCATGGGTTTATTGCTGGGCTGTCTATTCCGTTCCACTGATCTATGTGTCTGTTTTTATGCCAGTGCTATACTGTTTTGATTACTATAGCTTTGTAATATAGTTTAAAATCCAGTTTCGTTCTTCTTTCTGAAGATTGCTTTGACTATTTGAGAGTCTTTTGTAGTTCTGTACAAATTTTAGGATTGTTTGTTCTATTCCTGTGAAAAATACCATTGGAATTTTGATAGGGATTGTGTTGACTCTGTAGATTGCTTTGGGTAGTATGGACATTTTAACAATGTTAATTCTTCCTATCCATGAGCACAAAATATCTTTCCATTTATACAATTTCTTGTATCAATATCTTATGGTTTTCAGTGTACAGGTCTTTCACCTCCTTGGTTAAATTTATTCCTAGGCATTTTATTCTTTTTGATGCAATTGTAAATGACATCATTTTCCTAATTTCTCTTTCTGATAGCTATTAGTCTATGGAAACACAACAGATTTTTGTTTATTGATTTTGTATCCTGAAACTTTACTGAATTCATTTATTTTAACAGCTTTATGATGGAATCTTTAGAGCTTCCTAGATATCCTATCATGTCATCTGCAAATAATGACAGTTTTTACTTCTTCCTTTCCAAGTTGGTTGCCTTTAATTATTTTTTTGCTTGCCCAGTTTGACTTGACTTGACTTCCAATATTATGTTGAATAAAAGTGGCAATAGTGGGCATCCTTGCCTTGTTCCTTATCTTCGAGGAAAACTTTATAGCTTTACACCATTGAGTATGATGTTAGCCGTGGTCTGTCATTTTTCTCTAATAAACTCTTCCCATATTGTTATAAGCCTTTGGTTAATTTCCAGAGTTCTAAAAAAGTTGATCCTGGCAAATTTTTTGCAGTTTTCTCATTGCTATGGAGGAGACAATTTAGGGGGGACTTTGCCCATTTTCACTGACATCTCTGCGCTATATTTGAAATGCCCTTCTATGTGATTGCCTTGTCATTTCTCAAAACTGAGCTCAAATGTCTCCTCCATTGTGAAGGCTTCTCTGGGTCCTCTGAGCAAAGGAGTCAGCTATTCCTTTATTCTCCTATACCTCTGTGTTCAAGCTTCTGTTATTTCACTTTTTACAAAAACAAAAAACAAAAAACAAAAAAACCCCAGTTCTTTATATCTGTTCCTGTCTCTCCTCCCAGCCTGCAAGCTCCTAGCCTGTGACTTATTCATTCCCCATGCCCAGGCTAGTTCCTGACACATAGTACGTATACAGATTTGTAGGCTGAAGAGTATTGTCCTAGGAGACCTCAGCACTTAGCCAAGAGCTTCTCAGCTCCAGCCACCATGTTCTCCACCTGCATAACTCATAGCTGACCTCTATCCCTTCATTGTGAGCGAGGTTCAACAGTAATCATTAATAATAATAGCAGCTAATATTTACTGAATAGAGACTATGTAGATACTAGCTATAAAGCTAAGAATTTTATATTCAATAGCTCATTTAATTCCAGCATAAACCCTATGAGGTAGGTAATATTATCATAACTTTACAGGTAAGGCTGAGTAAGGGAAGTGGCAGAACTAGGGTTGGATGAAGGCCTGACTCTAAAGCCCCTGTTCTTAACTGTCTCATCTGAGGGATCTACGAGAGGCATTTGGAGGAAGGGGAGCCACACCACTCTTTC